AACAAAAATTATAATAATTAACATGGCTGTAACTGTAAAAAGATAAGACCTACCCCATCAAAATATTCAATTTTATATTCATTTTAGAGTATTTGTTTGCTGAATTGTCATTTGTAGTTTGCTTGTCAGACTTCATTCATTCAATTGAAAATTTATATTAAAAAACCCATTCATGATTTTTTCACTCGATTGCCCCTGGTTTTAAAAATGTAGATTCTTTATTTAATGGGTTTTAGTAATGTTTGGTAAAAATTAACCAACCCACAAACTTGAAGATACACAAAATTAAAACCTGAATTGGACCAGTTGATATCCACAGTACACTTATTAATTTTAACCAAACTTGGAAGATACACGAAATTTAAAGTATGGCCATCAAAAAACAAATTCATTTTAATAATTTTTTCTAGTTTTTATTGGTTTTTTCTACGCTTTCTATAAGGCTATAGTTATGCAATCTACCATCTTCATTCTCCTCTCGTGTGACTAATTTTTTATTATTTTTTCAATAAGTGCTATTTTAATATTATATATATATATATATATATAATTTTTTTATCCTTTTATATTTATCTTAATATTTCATGTTATTAATTGAAAATTCATATGCAACTGCAGAAAAACACAATAATCATTTTGTTTCGGTTTCTAGCCCACAAGTACATTTCTTGCTCAAAAATATGGAGGAGGGGAGAGAAAGTTGAAGGCCAATTCCCCATATATGCATATATTTTTGGTTGAGCTAATTTAGCTGTGGATTAGAAAGTTGAGTCCAGCTCAAAATTTTGCTGGCTGCTGGTTGAATAAATCAGTTAATGGAAATAAAACATTTTTTTTTATAACGTTAAAGTTTTAAAAAATTAAGAAACAGGATAAAAAAATTGAGTCTCTTTGTTTTCTCACACTGTCTCCTTCAGCTTCGAGGCTTGATTCTCAATCGTCCTCGACAACAATTTCACCCAAGACATGAACACACTTGTTTCAAGCCGAATAATCACTAACATCGCTCGCGAGCTTGCAGAAGTGTAGGAGAAAATCCACATCCTCAATCCTGACTTTAAAAGTCATTTCCATTACATAAATACACAGGTATTATATATATATATATATATATATATATATATATATATATATATATATATATAATTTAATAATTAAATAAAAATATATATTATATATAATAAAACTATTTTAAATAATAATTTTAAAAAAACCATTTTAACTCAATTATATAACTACAATTCTACGAACATAATGTATCAAAATGATAAAAATTTAATAAAATTAAATAATTTTAAAATATAATTTATTTCAAACTAATACTTTCTATCGTATAGTCTTAAAAAATATAATTAAATATTAATAATTAATATTTATTAATAATAATAAATTTAAGAGATAAAATAATAAAAAAAGTTAAATAACAACTTTAATATTTAAAATTTAAAATAAAATTAACAAATATATAAGTACAAATGAAAAATTAATAAATATATAATTTACACGTTATTTTAAGGATCTCATTAACAAATTCTTAAATTAAATGATATAAAACAAGATTCACAAAGAACTAAAAAAAAATTATATAAAACAAGAAATCCTCACTGGAATGAATTATGCATTTTCAACTCTGAAGAAATTCTAACAATCGTAAACAATAATATCCAATTAGGATCCTCTTCAATATACAGTTTACACAACTTTTACAAAATCTCAGCCTGATTTTTCCTTTTTTATCCTTGAAATATTGAGCCAAATATGGTTCAATAAGTTTCAGCCATTATATTACTCACTGCAATATTTTGGAAGGAAATTTGGTTCTACTAATATCTAACAAGTCATATCGTAACATCCTACACTTTAATTTAAATTAAATGAGATTTATTAAAATATAATTAAAATATATTTGGATAGAATTTACAAAAAAAAATAATTAAAAAATGATGATGTTATCAGTAACGTCATGCTGACGTTTGTCTATAGGGATGACAATGGGTAGGGTATGGGTAGGGTACTACAGTACCCATCCCTATACCCGCGTTTTAAAAAAATACGCGTACCCAGCCCCATACCCTCGTGGGTATGAACATTAATCTCCGTACCCGTACCCTCTAGGTACCCGCATACCCGTCTTGTACCCATTATCCACGCTTGTTTGAGAAAAAAATATTTATAAAGAAAAATATGTTTATATAACTTCACATAAGTAGCATAATAATACAAAAATTCAATATGTAGTTGTCGAATAAGGTACAAATATAGATAAAAAAATAAATATTCAAAGATCATAAATGTTAAATGTATCTTAATATAATAATTTTCTAAACTAAAATTCTTAGAAACAATAAGCAAAACTAAACACACAAGTTATTTGTCAGTGATAATCCTATCTTGTGTGAGATTTGATTGTTAGTAATGTCAGAACGACAACGAAATAGATCTGTACAATAGTTGTCCCTTCGTGTGGGATCACTTAGTAACTTCTTGTGACGGCATTAACAACTAATTCTAATGAATAACATTTCATAGTTATTAAGTTTTAGTAAGACAGACATTGAGAATGAGAATAGAGTTAGAGTAGAAAAGTTCAATATTAACAACAGAAAGTTGATACATAAAATATTTTTTTTAACTTTTGAATTTGAAATTGTAAGAAAAATAATAGATTTAATTAAAATAATATAATATAATTAATATATATATATATATATTAATACTAGTATTTTTTAACTCATATACTATACGAAAGTATTTTATCAAAAATATAAATTTTTGAAAAATTATTTTAGTGAATTAAATATTTATAATGTACATAAATTTAAAAAAAAAGAATTTGAATAAAAGATAAATAATTACAATAAAATTTTATAATAAAGAAATATACGTGTATATTAAAAAAATTAACAAATAAAAATTAACAATAATTTTTTATATTTATATCTTTTCAAAAACTTCTTTGAATGTGAATAAATAGTAAGAATAATATTATTTAGATTCAATAGATTATAGTTATGCTTGTAATACATATGTTACATAGAAAAATATTATTTTAAATTAAAATATAAAAATAAAATTTAAATATTATTAATAAATAATAAGTTTACGGTAATAATAGGTGATTGTAAAATTTATAAAATATTTATAATATATTTATTATTTATCATTCACTTTATGATTTAAAAATCAATATGATTTTATTAACAAAAATATTTTATGTGTGTCATATATAAATAATATTTTTAAAAAAAGTCAATCTTATATTAACTATGTAATAATTAAATTGTGTTAGCCTAATTAAATGATATAAAATAGTAAATAAATTTTTCTATTAAAAATATAAACCAAAATAAATTTTTTGGTTTACTTTATTATTAAATATATTTTTATATTAATCTTATATAACTTCACATAAGTAATATAATAATACAAAAATTCAATACATAATTGTAGAATAAAGTTCAAACATAATATATATATTTATATATATATATATATATATATATATATATATGTGGGTATGGGGCGGGATGGGTACTTAGATACCCATACCCGCACCCATCCCCATTAAAATTTGCGGGTTTTTACCCACACCCATACCCGTACCCGTATAGCGAGTAAATACCCTACCCATTATGGGTAAATTTTGCGGGTGCCCATCGGGTACTTTACCCATTGCCATCCCTTTGTCTACAATACGCATGCACAATATTTTCAGCATGAATAGTGATCCCGAATAATATTTTTGGCGTGAACAGTAAGACGGTGAATAGTAAATTTTAAAAATTTTCTATAAAAAGAGAGTTTCACACGAAATTTTCATTTCTTCACTCATATTCAAGGTTCTCAAAGGTTATAAGGCTATATCGAAAATAATCGATATGATAAGGTATAGTGCACTATTTGAACATAATAACACATTTTCACCATGTATTCATCATAAAATCACATAAACAACCAATTATTCTCATTTTTCATTGATTATTTTTCATAAAACAAGGATTATTCCACATATAATCACACATATGACAAGATCTATGAACATACAAGTAATAAACATAACAAAATGATAAAATAGAGCTCACTTACCTCAAAACACAGCTTTTACAAAGATTAACTCTAGAACAAAGTTTTTTCTAAAAACACCATGAACATCTATAAGAAAAAGAAGAAGAGGAGAAACGAACAGTAAATCTAACTTCAAACTTAGAGAAACTTACTTGAAATCCTTTAGAACGAACGTAGAATCACATATCTAAAGAGAAATATAAGTTTATGATAATTTAGTATGAGAAAAAATGGTGAGGTATAGTCTTAAAACCTTTAAGAACCTTGGATACGAGTGAAGAAATAAAACTTTGTGTGAAACTCCATTTTATAGAAATTTTTTGAAATTGACTGTTTATCGCCAAAAACATTATTCACCCTCTTACTGTTCACACTGAAAATACTGTTCGTGATTACTATTCACACTAAAAATACTGTACACTTATACTATACATAAAATGTACGCGTATATAATATCACTGATGACATCATTATTTTATTTATTTATTTATTTTGTAAATTTCATCAAAATCCATTCTAATTATACTTTAATATATCTCATTTTATTTAAATTAAAGTGTAGAATGTTACATATAACCCTGTGATGATACAACAAACCTTTATCAAGGGCATAAAAAAATAATTTGGTATAAACATAAAGGCAAATGCTACCAAAAATCCTAAAAGTACTAGTTAAGAAATTTAAAATTAAAAAAAATATTAAAAAGTGTTATTAATAGATAATCACCATGATTTTATATGAACTTCTTACATGATTTAGGGTATATTTGTTTTCTATTTTTAAAAGTATTTTTAATTTTTTTCTAATTATAGTATAAATTTATACTATATTTAAAAAAAAATAAAAAACTCTTTTTAAAAGAGAAATCAATAATACCCTCATTAATTTCTTTATTTGTACTTCTAGGACGCTCGTTGGCGAGATCCACAAATATAAACTATTAAACTATGATTATTCATATCCGGAAGCCAAAGAGATGGAATCTAGTAATCAGTGCCAACCCATAACGAGTTGACATTATTACAATGCTTTAACGACAAATGAAAAACATTTATTGTACAAGCTTGCAAATTAAACATTTAGGGTATGTTTGTTTTCCATTTTTAAAAGAGTTTTTAATTTTTTTTGGAATTTTTTTTTAGAAAAATCTGGTTAAAGTTGGTCAGCTCACATAGAGTGGTTCTGGCTCCACTTTTCGTCTGATCCTGAAAGAAAATTTGACAAAAAGAAGCGTTTAGCAAAATCCACCAAGGAGTTGGAACAGATGCTAAATCCACATTACATATGAAACAGAAAACTCACAGGCTCCCCCTGATTATCAATTCTCACCTTGAAAAACAATGCATAAAGATGTATTATGTAGGGACTTGTCTTTGATATTTTAGCTAGTGCAAGGGCAACACTAGAAGCTTAAGCTACCCCATTGGCAAAATGGTTTTTTCATTAACAACATTTACCAAACAAGTTAGAAACTTGCGAGATTTGGCAAAGTATTCTGATGATTTTTTGCCAGAAAATATGTAACTTTTACCTTTATCATTAAAACAAACAATTCTTTTGCAGTTGCAAGTGTCAGACATTGGGATTAAGGAAGACTTTCAACTTGTGATACCAGCACAGATGTAAGAATAACGCAAGCTCTAACAAAAATAGGAGGCAAAGGGTACTAAACACCCAAAACTAAGGAAGAAATAAAAGTGGTCGGTATCTAAGTGATTCAATCAAGGAATAGGTGAATCGTGTATTATTAATATGACCATATAAATCACATATAACTAAGCTCCAAAAGGTAGAAAAGTGCTATATAACAAACTCTTCCCATTATCTAAACTCACCAATTTTCTGGTGCCCATTGGCAGCCAACAGTATCCACCACATGCAAGCTGTATGCATGCCTTGATTTTGGCGAATGGTTTTCAAAGCTGCAAAGAAAAGCATATGAACAAGGATATCATGAACTCACCTTCAGAGGAAGCTATCTTTCTATACTTCAGGATACACATCATCTAGAGAGAATAGTTTTAACTTTTAGCAAACCTTTGGTGGATAAGATCCCCATGGATGACAACCAAAGACCCAGCTTTTACTTCAATAGGAACGAAATCTTTTTGATCATAAGATGGTGATGGTCGATCAAATTTGACACCAACTTCATCTCTTAAGAACCTCCTAACAAGCCCATCTTCAGCAAACATAGAATGCAAAAAAAAGAAAAAAGATTAGATGAGATCAACCAAGTAAAGGGTGAATAATCTATGTAACAAATAAACCAAAAGAAGAATAAAGCTACTTTTGTGAGATCCAGGAATCGCCCAAAGGCAACCATTTAATATCTTTGCATCTTCTAGGGCAAGCCATAGCCCTGTGCACGTTTGTGGTTCAGTATAAAGAAACGAGTTATCCTGGTGTGGCACTACTTCACCCCCAATGCCTGGTTGCTGCCAAAAAAAAAATTCATGATCAGGTAATGATAATGACCAGGCATCAAATACATCTATTCTTACATGCTCCATATGGCCATATAAAAATTCCACATAACGATATCCTTAATTTTGTTTTCACATTTGAAACATCAAATAGTTAAACAACTTGAGACCATTGAAAACAAGGTTTCTGGCCATGCACTTCAATGCATTTCAAAATGGAAAATCATAGCATGTTTATGAAACTCCAGTACAAACAAGTTGGAGCAAAAAATACTCATTGTAGCATGATTGGAAAAGAGAAACAAAAACTAAAAATCCAATCAGATTTAATATGTTAACTACATATAGAAAAATGGGTGGGTCTTCAGTTCGAAACACAGCAATGCTGAAATAACCAACCAAAAATATATCTACAAAAGTATCCAACAGATCATACAACAATATCAAATTCAAAAGTAAGCAAATAAAAAACAAACTTACATGCATGGTATATCAAAAGCAACTTTAAATAAGTTCTATTATCAGTTAAATAAATGAAAATACAAGTTCTATTCTCAGTTAAATGACTCAATACCAAAGATTTCCTTGATTAAAATTATAACACTACAGTTTTCAAGCATATGCTAGTTTGATTGCAAACTATAGAAGCAACCGACACAAGAAACGATATTAAAATGGGGAAGGGTTAAGTACATTTGCCAAATTAGAGTACAAATTATAAAGAAGCAAATCATACAATTCCCTCCCTCCCCACCTCCAACAAGGAAAGGAAAAGAACACATTCATGATTTCCAACCAATTCACATATCTATCGCTCATATGCAATGCCATAACACAACAAAGCACTTAACTTAAGTTTCTCAATTTTCATCTATATGATCAGGCAGATCAGCACTTGTGGTTCACAAAGGCAGAAGAAGATGTACCTTAAATATGTACATAGACTGCATGATTACAGGTCTCTTATAACCCAAGGAGTACATCAAACTAGAAAATTTCTCAGAAGTAGAAAACTTCTCGAATGCCGGTTCAATCTCATGAAGGGCTGCAGAAAATCACAGAACACCCCAGCCCACAAAAAAAGAAAATGAGATTCAAAGGAAACCAATTCAATTTACAAGGAATAATGCTACTCTCATAGCTCATGCATTCACCAGTCTGGACAGGTGGTTCCATTCCATCAAATTTAAAAGACTAAAAAGTTTACACATCGAGAAAAACAGTTTCCCCCACTGTCATAAACCATAAAACTAACTAATTCAACTAGACTACACATTGTGTGAACACTAAACAGAGACTACCCAATTCCATTTCAACTTCAGAGACAGAAAGAGAGAGAGAGATGAAATATCAGAATATTGAAAAGCTTACCGTGGCCAACTTTATTTATGGAGAGTTGCTTCGGCTGCTTTAATTTACCTTCATCCCCAAATGCTTTTTCTACCAAAAGTGAAACAGAAAAACAAAAAATCAAACTTTCAAGAAACCCAATTACTCTAAAACTGAAAAGATGAATTTTTTTTAATACCCTCAAAGAAGAACGAAACTCTGTCCACGCTCTCAAAAAAATAATTATCAGTAGATTGTTGCTGAAAAAGAAAAAAAACAAAGAAAGAGCAAGAGTAAGAGAACAGATAAATAGTCCAATTAAAGGGAGACAGAAAAATACAGCATAAGGAGTAACCTGGTTCTTGGTGGAGAAAATAGAGGCGGTGGAAGAAGGATCAAACTCATCCACCAACTGTTCCATCCTCTTCATCATGGCTTCAATCTCATCGTCACTAGCAAACGATTCAATCACAAGATAACCTGCACATGTACCACAGATTGGGTTGGTTGGTTGGTTGAATTGAGGACTAGGAATTATGTTCAAAGCGGAAAAAGTACCTTGTGAGTTGAAGGATTGGAGTTGTTCTGAACTAAGAATACCCATAATGTCTTGTGCTCTTCACAACTGAGATCCACTGTTCAATCTTGGTGTACTTGCCTAGGTACCCACTACGATTGCGGTCTCAGCTCTCAGAAAGTCAAATTCTGGTAATCTAATCTAATCCTCAAATTCAGTTTGGTTGTTTGAAAAGCATAACATGTTTATTTTCTTTTTTAAAAAATAGTTTTTTGTTTTTAAAATAAAATATAATACACAAAAAGTAAATAATATACTCTTAAAATTTAGGCTTTTTTTTCATAAATAAATAAAAAAAATTCATTATTCTCTAAATATCCTAAAAAAAGAAAAATTTACATAAACAGACTTAAAGTACGTATAAAGTCAATTTTTGAAAATTTTTACATAACATTCTGATTTTAAAATTTTGTTTACACGATTTAAATTAATTTTTATCTTACTTTTAAAATTTTTTTATACATAAGTTAATTTAAATCAACTTTTATTCTATTTTTAAATTTTTTATACAAAATTAAATTAAATTATGTATTACAAAATTAATTATAATTAATTTTTTATTAAAATATATTTATGTGTGAGTCAAAATTAATTTAAATTAAATTATGTGTAAATAAATTTTAAAAAATTAATTTAAATTAATTTTTATATAAAAATTTAAATATAGAATGAAATTTAATTTAAATTGACTCTCGTATAAAAAAAATTAAAAGTAAAAATCAACTTAAATCGATGTTTGTATAAAAAAATTTTAAAACAAAGATGAAAGTAGATTTAAATCGACTTTTTGTGTAGAAAAAATTAAACTACAATAAAAGTTGATTTATGTGTAAAAATTTTTAAAATAAAAATAAAAATTAATTTAAATCAACTTTTATTATAAGTACTTTCAAGATGTTTACGTAATTTTTTTTTTATTTTAGGATATTTAAGGAATAATAAATTTTTTTAATTTATTTATAAAAAAAATCCTAAAATTCAAATTATTTTGTTTATATTTTTAATTTTTTTAAAAATTATTTATATTTTTTCAACATTTTTAAATTACAATTTATAGTTTAATCACGTACTTAGTTGGTAGCTCGTTCGAGTATTTTATTTTAATTTTTATCTTATCATGAATATTTATAAAATAATCTTCTAAGAAACTACATGTAAAAAATTAATGTGAATGTTGTTTTATTATAATTTTAAAAATTTATAATTCAAAATTTATTTATAATATATGATTTAAAAATTTTATATTGGTGAATTTTTTGTACACTCTGTAAATATTATTAAAATAAAATAGTTTTTTAAATAAGTAATAAAATGATATTATATTCTTTTTTAAAATTTAATAAATTTATTAATTTAAAAGGAGTAAATTATTTTATTTAATAATTAATATTTTATTATATTAAATAAGATTACGTTAAAAAATATATTTTTAATATTTAAATTTAAATAAAATATTAAATGTAGAAAAAATATGATGCATTAGTAAAATAATAATAATAATTAATAATCATTTCATCTACCTGTCAAACTTTATATATAATTTAAAATAATCTACAAATCTATCTTCTATTTTTGTTTTATAAAATTAGTATTTTTATCTTTTACATGTTAAATTTGATTTTATCTTTCAACTTTATTTTGATTCATATTAGTTTTTTAACTTTTAAAATTAAATAAATTATTTCTATTAAAAATACTAATTTGCCTCTTTTTTGCTAAGAGGTTTCAACTTTTTCTTCCATCTCTTTATATTTATTCTTTTTCTTTTCTTCAACAAACACCTAACATGCACTTCGCCAATCTTGTTACCATGAGGTTACTCTTACTATATTTGCTTCTTCTTCATTGTTGTTGTATTATTTCACCTCCTCCATTACTTCAAAATTTACATTATTCTTGAGAATATTTCATAAATCAATGACAACGTCTCTTGTGTTAGCAAAAACAAAGATATTTTCTCCTTGAAGTGATAATGGAGCCTTAGGATGATAACCATCACATCCATATTTTCTGTGAGAGGATTTTTAAGAGAACAAAAAATAGAAATTGAAGAGGAAGATAAAGGGAAAGAAGAAGAGAAAAAAGTAGAGGAGAAAGCTAAAATATGATAAAGAAGATGATGAATAATGCATATAAATTTAAAGAAGATGATGAACATTGCCTGACATTTAGCCAAAAAAAAAAAAGTTAATGAAGTTAAAGTTTTTAATAGAAAGAATCTATTTGAAATATTCTTAAGAGTTAGAGAACCAAAATGAAACAAAATAAAGTTAAAGTATAAAATTAAATTTAACCATTAAATGAGAATGAAAATACTAATTTTATTAATTTTTTAAGAAAATTTTTTGCAAATTGAAATTAGTTAACAAAATCAAACATTTGAAGTAATTTTTTTTTTCTTTTTAAGTCTTTAATTTCAAAATTAGTTTGCAAAAAGTTAAGCCATTTTGTTCTAAAGGCATCCCAACTATCAAGAAAGATAAGTTCTATTCTATATCCAATAGTATATTTACATATAATATTAGTAGATATTTAGGTGTTCTTATTTTTTCTAGGAAGAGTTAAAATTAATGATTTTAGTTTTATCATTAACAAGATTTCATATAGATTAGTTGATAAAAATTAAATTTATTAAGTAGAATTAGAATGTTAACTCTTCTTTAGCCATTTCATTAATTTAAATTTATACTATGTAAAATATTTAGATGTCAAATTTTGTTTATAATAAACTATCCTCAGTTTTGCATAATTTTCTTTGGGCTAAGAACAATAATAGAGGTCTTCATTCAATTAAGTAAACTTCTATTGTTAAGTTTAAACATTTTAGTGGATTGAATCTGCATCATTTTATGTTAGTTAATGTTTTTATGTCAGACAAATTCTTTTAGTCGGTGGTTAATAATTTTAAGAAACTTTGAGTTTAAATCATTTTAGACAAATATGAGTTGGGTTAGAATATTCTTGCTTTTTAAATAAAAATTGAAATTTCTTAAAAAAAGGTAATTGTGTTAAAAGATTGATATTATTTTAGTTTTTAGAGTTGATAATGAGAAAATTTCTTTTTAAATTGAATTAATAAAGATTTAACTTAAGAAAAGGTTTATTTTACTCATGTTTCTAACTTGTAATTGCGTATAAAAGATAAGTAAAATAAAATTAATTAATATTTTAAAAGTTTTGCACTTACATTTTTCTTTCTCATTATTTAAAAAAGAATTAGGGGCCATTTATTTCTCCTTCTTTTTCAGTTTTTAAAATTTAAAAACTTCAAAATTTGTTTGTTAATTTAAATTTTAAAAATTATTTTTAAAAATAAGTTTTTATTTTTAATTTTTAAAAATAAAATACAGAATAGCTTCTAAGGTATTTTTATTTTTAAATTTTGATTTCTCTTTTTAAAATTTACAAAATACGAAAAATTTATTTCCATTAATGACATTCTTGTAAATAAATTAATTAAATAAAAAATGTAAATGAAGTAGTGGTGTGTAAAAACTGATCACTGGGCAAGTGTACCCGTTGTCAAAGTAATATTATTAAAATTAAAATTAAAGTACCAAGTGTCGTATTCACAGGGACTGTTATTAAGAAACTTTTCCTTAATTGCGTAATTGTTAATAAATATGAGAAATAAACCTTGTTGATGAAATTGCTAAAAGTAAAAGAATAATAAATTAAAAGGAACAGATATTCTAGTGAAAATAAATTATAAAAAATTATGACTAAAGGTATTCAATGTAAAAAGGCAAGTATCTAGACGGTAAATCTCCCTAAGTGTCCAAATAACTGAAATTCTTCTTCAACTACTTAGTTCCAAACCCTTATCGCTGCAGGAAATTCTAATTTAAATCAATACATTTCTCAAGGATAATGATTCCTAACCCTCAGTTGATTAATCGGAATCTCTTCCTTAATTAATACCCCTAGGTTGCATTAAGTTCATTATGAATTCCATAATTAGGGTTAATCCTAATACAGAAAACTCACGTCTTTCTATCTCTAGAAATACATTTAAGTCTTTTTAATTGAGCAATGTTAAATTCATGCAAAAATTTTACTCAAATTCAAACAAGAAAACAGGATAGAGAAAATTGATACTACTCAATTAAACCCAAGAGAAAGGAACATGAAATAACATTAGAAGAATTCCAGAAAATTTAGTCAATTAGGATTCATTACGTCTAGATACTCAAAGGAAAGTTAGAACCTAAACATCTTGAAATTAAAATTACAAAAGAGATGAAATAAAATGCTTAATCTCATCCTCTTGCCGTCTCTGAGTCTTTCGTCTTCAAAAACTGCCTCCCTTAGGTTTGAGTTCAGTTCTCCTTTTATAGAAATTATCTTAAGGTTAATTTTCTCGCAAAAGTTAAATTTCTGACGCGCGTAAAAGTACACGGCCATGTACTTGGCCGTATACATCTCTGTTTTCTAATAGATACCTTTCAAAGCTTTCCATAAAAGTACACGCTCATGTACACGGCCATGTATCTGGCCGTGTACATCTCTGGTCTTGATGATACATTTCAATTGACACGACCAGTGAGATACACGCTCATATACACGGGCATGTACTTGCCCGTGTATATCTCTGGTTTCTTTTTTTCTTCAATTCTCGACATCTTTAAGGCTTTCACTTCTTGATCCTTTTTCCTGAAATATGAATAAAATGAAATTAATAATAGTAAATTTTCTCAATGAATAGCTTAAAACTCTCAATTATCATTCATGAATTACAATGTAGGATCAAGTATAGAAAGCATTTATCAAGTAGGTTAAGGTTTCACAACATTCTCACATCTCCTTGAGTACCAGCAACCTTTCAGCATCCTCATGACTTCTCGGCTCGCATCAATAACTTTACAACTTTGTTTTAATAATTTTTCAATTCAATATTTTATTTTAAATATAAAAAATATATATTCAATTAAATAAAAAAAATACTAAAATTAAATATTAAATATATATATATATATATATATATATAAAATCAAACACATTTTTTTTAGTTTTTAAAAATAAATAACAAGTTTTTTTATTTTCTTATCTTAAAAATAGTTTAAAAAATTAAATTACCAAACAAATTTTATTTTCATTCTTTTCTTAAAAATAGTTTTATAAAATTATTTTAAAATATAATTTTTAAAAACTGAAAAGCAAAACTAAATCAAACCCTTAATAAACTTTTTTCATTTTCTCCTTTTAAAAGATATTTCTAATTATCTAATTTGGAGTCATAATATTAACAGACTTTATTTGATTAAGAGTGGATATAATTGATTAATAAACTATTATCTTTTTCCAACTATTTTTCTTTGAGTTTGGCTTTGGAAACTCCACATGCATGAATTTTTTTTTCTAGTTATTGGGTGCAAGATTTGATTTCTTGTAATTCTCTATACTCAAAATCTTTTTGACTCTTCTATTTAAGGTTGATATCATAGGGATCAATTTTACGTTGTTTTTGTAAATCCAATATTATTAGATGCATTTGGAAGATTCTTGACTACTAAGTAGACCCTTTTTTGTGTCTTTAATAAATTTAAAACTTTGATTATTTAAATTTCTAAATTATCAAAATCATTTGTTTATTACCTTTTTGTGGGCAATTTAAAAAAATTGTAATGATTTTTGTTTGCTTAACACAAATAATTTTTTACATAAAATTATAGTTGATATTTATCTTACTCATAAAATTTAAGTATCTTTATTCCAAAATTCTTTGCTTTGGTCCTCTTTGGTGGATTTCTTAAACTTTTCTTTCATGCAAGTAATAATAACTTTGAATGTGTTTAAAGGTATGATAAAATAAGTTTTGGAAGTATATTTCATAACTATATATTTAATGAAATGATAGTTTCTTTGGTTATTTAGAAGCAAATGATATTCTTTTAAGAACCAATTGTCATATACCAAGATCTTGTCACATTGCTTAAGATCTTTGCATTTTTTCTATCACTTATTACTCTAATTGTCTTTATGTTATTCAACTTTCTCATATTGGTCCTTTAACCTACTCTTATATGTTTCTATTATCAAAGTAATTTAGGATATGCTAGCTTATAATTGAGATGTTTGCCTTGTTTATGTATTTAAGATGAGCTAATTTTTGTATTATCAATCTTGCCAATATGAATGTTGATCAAGTTGTTCAAATATTTTTTTAATTATCCTTTTTTATATTAACTATTTTTCTTTAATAATTTAGTTTTTATTTTGTTATTTTTCACATTAAGATTTTAGCCATTTTTTCTTCTTCTCAAAAATATATAATATGTAAACATGAATTCTTAAATAGTAAATCTTTTATTATATTAAATAAAAATAAATAAAAAGATAAATTTTAAAGTTAAAAAATAAATTATGAAAAACTCAAACTTTATTTTAATATTAAATTAACAAATAAATGCTTAATTAAAAAATTACTTCAAATGATGAAAATTTGAAGTTTAGTATTTATAAATTATAAATATATATATTAATTAATTTTAATAATAATACTTTTATACATATTTTTTTTCTATTTAAAAAAATACCATTCTAATAATCTAATATAAATGATATCTGATAGTTAAAATAAAATGCTAGCCTCAATTTTTACAGTGAAGTTTAAACAACTTATAATAATATTATTTAATATTTTTATAAGACACATTTAAAATATTATTATAATTTAAAATTTTAATAATATTTTAAAATATTATACTAATTATTTGTTTTCTCTTTCTTAAATATCGATATTCAATAAATCATATGCTTAAATAAATATTATCATTTGTTATTTTTTTCATTGTATATTTCTCGTAACTTCACTGTCACCAAGTACTATATTAATCGAGTTTTAAGAGTTTAACATAATCACTTACTAACAATAGCATTTTCATTTTAAGTTTCCATATAAATTCTTAAATTTGGAAAAAAAATTAAGATGTTCAAATAAACAGTTATTATAGATAATTTTAATTTTAACTACCGTTTGAAAGACTTAAAGAAAATAATAATATTTTTTAACAAACGCAAGAGATTTGCTAAAACATCTAAATGAATGGATACTTAAGAATATCTGCCACCAAGTAGATACGATAAGTTTAGTTACACTAAAAAAAAGAAAAAGAAATAAGATTAGAAAGAGAACAGCACATTGGCAAACTAGAGATGAGTCATCAAACTCCATTTTCTTCTTTGTTGGGAAGGTCAAAATCCAAAATCATGGCATTTTGTACCTGTTCAGGAAACCAAACGAGAGCCTCGAAATAAAATTCCAAGAAGCTGATGATGTTTTTATTACCACTCTGAGAAAAGCACAATTTGTAGGAACACATTAACCTTCTCTCATCTGATCTGCATGATACCTTTCTTCACGCATCTGCACTCACAATTAAAAAATAATAAACCAAAAATAAATAAATAAATAAATAAATAAAAACACACAAGAGGTGCATGCGTTGGCCTTTGCCTTTTTCCCTTATTGCATTTCCCTCTCCATCAAACCAAAACAAATACCTTTCTATTCATCTCTGAGTTGCATAATTGCACACTGCATTGCATTGCCCAGCTAGCCACCCCACGTGCGCTCTCTCTCTCTCTCAGAAAATCAAATTCATTCCGAGGACCCCAAACGGTGTCGTTTTCTCGGAGTATTATTACATCGCGCTGCGGTGTAAAGAGAGAGAGAGAGAGAGTTGTTGTGATGTAGAAAGGTTGATCCCAAATGCACCCGTACAACCGGCTACCGAGCAGTGGGCACTCGACGCCGTCGCCGCCGCCGTCGCCTCTCCGGTCGCCGAGGCTCCGCCACGGGCGGTCCAAGGCCGGGCGGTTCTCCCCGAACCGGGGGGGCGGTCGGACCGCTGCGCAGCGGCTTAGTTGGATGTTCCTTTCGGTTCTGCTTCGACGACAAGGCGTTTTCCTCTTCGCTCCTCTCATCTACATCTCCGGCATGCTTCTCTACATGGGAACCGCCTCATTCGATGTCGTTCCGGTCATCAAACACCGCCCTGCTCCCGGTTCCCTCTACCGTAGCCCTCAGCTATACGCCAAGCTTCGCTCCGATATGGATTCCGATAATTCCTCTGCCGATGCGGTTCGATTCAGTTTCAAATCTCTTCATAACTTAATTATTTATTGATGAATTTTGATGATTCGTAATTTATCAGGTTTTTCTAATTAAATATGTATATTTTGGAATGTTTGAAATCGAGTTTCGGTTCTCTTGGCTTATTCTGTTGTAGGTTTCGAATGTAGCTTTAACCTTTGCGGTTTGAGTCTAGATTTCGAATATACCTTTCTTATGGAAGAGCTTTTGTGCTCTGTAATTGATGCATTTTTCTGGTCAAGTTATTGAGGCGCAGCAATGCTAGTAAATGATTGATAAAGTGATTTAAAACTGTGATTGGATTGGAAATTTCTCATAGAGGAATTTGGTTTAAATCGTCCTCTGGTTTCATATATGTTGTTGCTTTCAGCCACTAGAAAATCCTTTAATCAATTAACTGTGAGAATGTTAGGATTGTTATCAACTTATTCTGTTAGGACTTGGGAGTCATATTAAGAGTTTTGTTGGACTGAGATTTAGTAGTTGTGCTACATATACCTGAATTTGACCTAGATTATTGTTATACATGCATGTTAAATATATTCTCATTTTTTCTCTTTTCCATTCAATAGCTGAATTTCAAAATCTGTATAAATGATAATGTATAAGATTGATTAAAATTGGTGCTTGTAGTGCTTAATATTAGCCACACAATGGAGTGTTATCGAAGTTCCTTCTTTTTCTCAGTTATGAGGGAGCTCATGAGATTAAGTGTTTAATACCTAATGATTTGATTGAAAGCTTAAGTGTGACATTTAGATTCACAAGGGAGGAAACCTGACATGGGGTTCTTGGTAAGGAAGCCGGGTGGCACTGGGTGATCGGCAGAAGCATTAAATTTCTTGTTGCTGCTGTCTTGTGCTTATCTTCTAGCTATATTCTTTTTAAAATCAAACTAGTCTTGCCCCAGATCCCAAGGGATTCCTTTGAGATGATAGTACCAAAATAAAGAAAAAGGGCTATTTCTGCTTATGTATAGTGTATATATTAAGAATTTGAGGTGTCATTCTTTAGAAATTGAGAATTCATGCCTTCACGTGGGATAATTTCATGTTTGATGGTAATTAGGTAATATTGTTCTAACATTTTTCTTGATTGCTGGCAACTAAAGTTATCAGTTGTTTAGGTATATTTTTCAGCTCTTGTAAGGATAGTTTCTTCAGAGGCTTTCATATTGTTCTTGGTTATGACGACCCACTAACTTTTGGAGGATACTTGATTCTGATCATGCATCTTTCTTTTACAGATATTATACTTCTTTCAAAATTTGGTTCTTTTTGTTGGTTTCTTGTATAGTACTTTTCAAGTCTTCGTACTTGTCAGTTGTTTTTTTGGGTCTAGTTGGCAACTTTTTGTGACAAAGCTAGCAAATTTCCTTTCAGATATCGACAATATGGAAGAGTCCATATAGAGGTGGGGAGTGGAAACCATGTGTAAACAGATCAACAGAAGGTATAATACGAATTGTATTGATGCAAAGTAAATGATGACAATTTCCTTTTTCTCTTATTTTTTTGTTCTAGATAATGTTTTTGGTGCTTTTGGTACCATTGATCTGTCTATTACTTGTTGGTACTCATTTGTTTCCTTTTGTTGGAGCTGAATGCTTACATTTTTTTAGGATGTCTTATGTTAGAGATATAACAGAAACTATTCATGTGTTTTTCACCTTTTGGATAGATGGTCTACGACATGGTATTAGAGCCTATCTGGTTTTATGTTGGGCCCAGCCATCTATAAATGTCTACATTTACAAATATCATGCTTTAGGTGTCTAGTCCTAAGCTTGAGGAGGGTGTTTTAAGATATCTTATATTGGCTAGACATATGGTCAAAATACTTAAGTTTCGGACAATCCTCCCTTTGAGTTAGCTTGTGGGGTTGCGCTGTGTCCAATTCTTTTCTAATTTGATTTCAAAGCCTCTATGATCAGATTGTCAAGACTTTGATCCTTGCCACCTCTACTCTTCTGATAAAAATGAATTTAGGCACAGTGTAGACATGCCTGTCTATACTTTGTCAACCTTTAAGCCCAAAGGGCTCTTGTGTGGTGGGGCTTGTTAGAGATATAATATAAAACCATTCATGTTTCTTCACCTAAAAGCTTAAGCTTTTGATGGTTTATGATGTCTTTTTATCTCTAAACTTTTGTTTATGGCATCTATTGGGTGTTCAGCTCCATTTGTGTCAATTGTCAAGAGCATGTCCTTCTATCTATAGGAAAAAAAATATTGTGAAGTGAAATCTTTTATTGAAAGCAGTGAATTGCCAATTAATTTATGGATTGTATCATTCTTGTTGGAATACATTCGGCCCAAGATGATGTTGTTGCCATTGCTGTTTTTCACTTTTAATATATCTGGGGAACTAGTGTTTCTATCTTCTGCCAGCGTACTGTGTTTTGTTAACTATTAAGGTATATTTCTTAAATTTTTGATAGGCCTACCTGAATCAAATGGATACATATATGTAGAGGCTAATGGTGGCTTAAATCAACAAAGGACATCGGTAAGTGTTTCTTGTACATTCTGTGTTTGTATTCAAAGCATGCTTAATGTATTTTTACCCTTGACTCATCTATTTTTTGAATAATATCAATGCTTTGTAGGTATGCAATGCAGTTGCTGTGGCTGGATATCTCAATGCTACCCTTGTGATCCCTAATTTCCATTATCATAGCATATGGAAAGATCCTAGGTTGGTTTGTTATGTTATCACTTCAAGTTTCAACTGCTAGAGGTTAAGAAATCCCTCAAAACAGGAAAAAGTTGAAAACCTATATCCCACAAGAGACATTGTAATCAAGTGGGATGCATTTAATTTGTGTCATGAAACTTGGATTGCTGAAATGCCAGAAATTTTCATTTGAAACTACTTGTTCAAATTTCTTTCAGTGTAAATTAAGTAGTTGAGACATTTAAATGGTGTGACATTGTACTATCTTTTCCGATGATCATCTTTTATTAGAGGAAAGAACCTTTTCCAGTGTTGAATATTATTGTTGGTAAGCTATTTGATCAGATGGAATATCATGGATTTATATTAGTACTTCAAAATTTTCTTGGTTGCAATGAGTTTATTGGTGTTTAATGATTTTGATCAAGGTATTTATTTTGAAACAAACTAAACTAATCTACAATGTTTCATGTATCCAGCAAATTCAAGGACATTTATGATGATGAATATTTTATAAATACCTTGAAAAATGATGTACGGGTGGTTGACAAGATTCCTGAGTACCTAATGGAAAGATTTGGCAGCAACATGACGAATGTTCACAATTTCAGGATCAAGGCATGGTCATCTATTCAGTATTACAGAGATGTAGTACTCCCAAAGTTACTTGAAGAAAAGTGAGTATATGATGTTTGTTGTGTAAATTATTTCCTTTTTGTTATTGATCATTAATAGATATCAGTTAAACAGTTTGGAGTAATTTTTAGTTGTCCTAGGTATATGGGAGAAGAAAGTAGTGCACAATGCTGAAGTGTTTTGGACCTTTGGCCTTTTATCTGTATTGTGGTATATTTTGCTTCAGTGACATGCTAGGAATTAGGATTCTTCTCAATTTACAATTTATCTATGCATGTAATAAGATTATTTTTGAGCTTCATCTGAGCAGTATTGCATATTTACGTACACTGTTTTGAGCTTAAGTTCTTTGAATGTTCTCCTAAGGAAAGGAAAGGGGTCATTTGGGCAATACTGGAAAAAAGTTGTATTAAATATTAATTATATTTTCCTTCTTGCTGGTTGTCCATTTGTATTATTGTTATGGGAGGGAGTGTCTTATGGCTTAAATACCAAAATGAGGCTCCATTCGTTACTCACAATGGGACTAACAAACAGCGGATAATTTTACCATTAAATTGTTATCATCAAATATGTTCATTTTATTAAGATAAGAAGCTTGGAAATTTTATATATATATTGAACTCAATTTATTCATGCAGGGTTATAAGGATTTCACCTTTTGCAAATAGATTATCATTTGATGCTCCTCCAGTTGTCCAGCGTCTCAGATGTTTAGCAAATTATGAGGCTTTACGGTTTTCAAGTCCTATACTGACTATAGGTGAATCTTTAGTTGAAAGAATGAGAAAACGTAGTGCCATTAATGGCGGAAAATATGTCTCTGTACATCTCCGTTTTGAAGAGGTTAGTTTTGATCAGATATGAATGTATATTAATTAAGCAAATTGATGCCCTGTGTTAATCTTTGTTGCCATTGATGCACATGGTTTCCCATGCACAGGATATGGTTGCTTTCTCTTGTTGTGTTTTTGATGGAGGAAAACAGGAGAGAGAGGACATGATTGCAGCTAGAGAAAGAGGTTGGAAAGGGAAATTTACTAAACCTGGACGAGTTATACGTCCAGGAGCAATCAGGATTAATGGAAAGTGTCCCCTCACCCCATTAGAGGTAATTGTCTCATTAAAGCTTTATTATTTTAGTCTTTGTTTGAAGAGGAAGGAGATTTCAGGGCTTCTTTCTGTTTGGAAATGGTTAGTCTAGCTAGACATTTCCAAACTTTTCTTGAAGATGTTCCTTTGGCAGGTTATTTGTTGTGGTTTTCTCCTAATTGCAGTTTAAATTTTTTAATTGTAATGGTGCCTTCATCTATCTCTTTAGGTTGGCCTGATGCTGAGGGGAATGGGTTTCACAAAGAACACATCTATCTTTTTGGCATCTGGAAAAATATATAATGCTGAGAAAACAATGGCTCCACTACTCCAAATGTTTCCTAATTTGCATACTAAGGAGACTCTAGCTTCTGAAGAGGAACTTACTCCATTTAGGGTACATATTTGTACATTTGTTATTTGTTTCACTCCAGCATTGATTTAGTGCTATGATTTTGACTGAGTTATTTCTTCTAGAATTATTCTTCCAGGATGGCTGCCATAGATTACACTGTTTGTCTTCACAGTGAGGTGTTTGTCACAACTCAGGGGGGTAACTTCCCTCATTTTTTGCTGGGCCACAGAAGATACTTGTATGGTGGACATGCTAAGACAATTAAACCTGATAAGCGGAAGTTGGCATTACTGTTTGATAGTCCCAATATAGGGTATGTATGCTACATATTGGCGTATTTTTTGTTCTAGTTATGAGGATATAATAAATTGGATAAGTTCCTCATCCCGCACAAAAGTTTCCTCCATCCTTTGGCTCATATTTTGAATTTGAAAGTAAATATGTTACAGACAGTTTCATGATGTGACATCAATACAAGGTCATTCTGAAGAAATTATCCTTATTATTATATTGAACTGGATGGAATTCACTTGGAAAACTCGTGTAATTAGGGTATTCCTTCCACTAAGAAATATCTCCTTTATAGAATAATTATGCTACTTATGCAACTCTTGCATTTACAACTGTGCCCAATTGTACTTGTGACTCCCAATTGTGTTTAGGAGGAAACTGTTGATAGTCAGTATGTTTAGTTAGTAGAATATCTTTAGCATTTCTCTTTATAGCACATGCTCTCGTTTATTTTGCTTTTAACTTTAGTAAGTTGTGAACAGTTATTGTGTTCAAATGAGAGGTCTGTAGCTGTTTTTAATAAGAAAGTAACTAAACTGTCAATTAATTTCCAGATGGAAAACTCTCAAGCGTCAACTGCTGAGCATGAGGTTGCATAGTGATTCCAAGGGAGTTGAGCTCAAAAGACCGAATGATTCTATTTACAGCTTTCCATGCCCGGATTGTATGTGCCGTGCCAATAGAACTAACGATGCAAGATCTTCATCTGCGACATGATCTACTCAGAATTTGATGGGTGTTTCTGTTACCTATGATTTTGTGAGCATGCCTTGCTGCTGATTGCATTTATGGTAGTGATTGTTTCATTTTTTCCCCCTTCCATCTGGTGAGAGGGCATACACTCCATTTTTGGACGTCGAAAGGTTTTGTTGGAGGTCTGGTTGATCTGATTATATATTTGGATTGAATTTCAAGGGAGTGGCATCTTTTTTGTACATGATGCCAATTCAGAACAGAATTGAAACCGTTCCTTTACAGGAATCTCTCCCAGAACATTAACTGAGCTATGTTTTGTATATGAATTAGCAGCCGCTGTGTCGAACCATCTGTTTAAAGAGTCGAATGACAAACTCAGGATCCTTCGCACCCTGCCTGTACATTACCTGGAGCATGATATTCATGTGTTAAGGCTGTAACAAGCTCTCTGTACATTTACAAAATTCAGGGTCCTGCCATACTGTTATCTTGTTCTGTTTTAGGTTTTTTTTTTTCCTTTCTTTTGCCGCTGTTATCAATTTTGTATTTTATTTTCCCTCATATTGAGGGCCCTATTGTTAGTTTTATGCTGTATCTGAGCGCATTTATTATTCTTTTACATTGGTGCCCCATTGTATTAGTGATGATACCGGTGAATGTAATTAGTTCACCATTCATAACTATCAAAGATTTGCTCGATGCTCTTGGGAAGATACTAGGTTTAAATCATTCTTTAGTATAACTTACTCACAAATTGTGACACGTAACCCAATCAGTAGCTGGGAATGGCAAAATCGCAAGAGTTGGTTTCTGAAATGGTAGATACCTGCGATACTTGTCAAAATGTGCTCTTTAACAGATGGAAAAAAGGAACAAAATAAGACTACTTTTCTTTTACTTCGTACATTTTATTTGACCAATTTCTTTAAGTAAAATAAAGATATAATATCAAGTTATGTAAGTTTAAATACGAAGCTTAATCATAATTATATTTTGTACTGGGATCTTGATAGAATTCCTCAAAAATCTTAGATCATGCTTCACTCACCATTTTTTGGTCTTATTTCTTGTGCAAACGAATAATTGAAGCAAGACTCATACAATGAATAACTATAAAAACAACCTTACCCTTAGATGAAGAACTTGAATGAAATTGGTCAAGACCATGCTTGTAAATAAAAATGGCATTGAGCAAAAGTATCCAACCCTTCTAAGTAGTGTAGAACTCATTGAACTATAATAGAAAGAGATGACAATTAATATTGTTTATAAATACTTAATTCATTGTTTTTAAGATATTAAAAGAAAGGAAGTGTTAGAGGTAGGGTACTAAGAGGTTAAGGTTTGAAAAGTACATGATATAAGTTAGCTACACGTGAGACACTAAGTAAAGGTTGAATATCATTGTTGAAACTTTATAGGGTAAGGTTGTAAATTAAGTGTCCACTTGATAGTATCTAAAGAATTATATTTCATAGTTGAGTTTGATGAAAGCAAATTGGGTTCTTATAAAGAAAGAAAATAATTAAAAAGAAGAACATTTTAGTAAAAGGAGGTTTAATTCATGGGGGGTATTTTAGTAGAGCTATTGTATTTTATTTATTTATTATTATTATTATTATTAGATGTTTCAATTTTTTCAATACTCAATTATCTAAGTGAATAGATTTGTAAAGTACAAATGTAAAAACTTATCTATCATTGATTTGAAATCAATTATTTATTAAACATAATCAACTTTAAATTAACAATGATTAAATTCTAACTCTTTAATTTATATATATTTTTTATTTTAGTAGGGTTAAGTCTCCTCGGCATACATATATGAGTAGGAGTATAACTATAAATTAGTTCAAGTATTTATAAAATATTCAAGTTCAATTTATTAAAAAATTTATTTAAGTTTGTTTGTTTAGTTTAATAAACTGATTCAAGTTTAAAGTTAAATTTAATTACTTAAATGAGTTTAATCTTAAGTATATAAATTTATTGCTAATAATTTGTAAATAATTTAAGTGTGTGAATGCGTATAATTATAAGTTTTACTTATTATATTTATTTAAGAAACTATAATTTTATTAATTATTATATATAAATATATAATATTTACATAAATTTTATTTTAAAAATTTATATTCTAAATCATTAGGTATATTTTTTAACAAGTCTACTGTTTGCCTAATATTTTATTTCAAAATTAAATCATATTTATGAATATAAAAATATTTATTTTACTATTTATGTCATTTTTTAGTACGAAGGAATTTGTTAGATTAAATAATAAACGAAATTTTATTTAAAGAGTGATTCAATAAAAAAAATATTAACAAGTTATAAAAGGGAGTGCTAGAAAAACAATTTTTTAACGTGAGTAGAACTTAAATAATTTTTGTTAAAAGTTTAACTAATAACTAAGAGTGTTAAGAAAGAGTGTGTGTATATATATATATATATATATTGTTATAAATAAGTTAATGGATTAAACTTAATTTTTTTACTTTAAAAATTATACTAAAAATAGAACTTTATTTAATTTTCGTATATAAATATTTTTATTAATAATAAATCGAAATTAATATTTTGTTAAGATATGAAAGGAAGTGAGATAAATGAAGGGGGGGCTAGTGATACATATACATTGAAAAGGAAAAGTGGCACAAAATAAATAGAGAAAGAAGGAGAAATCAGAAAGCCCTAAAGGAAGAAGAGGTGAAATGGGAACACCAGAGACATCAAGAGAACCATGTCCAGATCGCATCCTTGACGACATAGGAGGAGCCTTCGGCATGGGAGCAGTGGGTGGATCAGCCTTTCACTTCCTCAAAGGACTCTACAACGCGCCAAAGGGCTCTCGAGTCATCGCCGCCTCCCAAGCTGTTCGCCTCAACGCCCCTCGCGTCGGCGGAAGCTTCGCCGTGTGGGGGGGTCTCTTCTCCACCTTCGACTGCACCATGGTCTACCTCCGCCAGAAAGAGGATCCCTGGAACTCCATCTTTGCCGGCGCCGCCACCGGCGGATTCCTGTCCATGCGCCAGGGATTTACCGCCTCCGCTCGCTCTGCCGCGTTCGGCGGCGTTCTCTTGGCTCTCATTGAAGGCGCCGGCATCATGCTCAACAAGTTCCTCAGCGCACAGCAACCCATGCCTATCATCGTTGACGACCCCAGCGGGTTCCCGGGTCAACCCGGAGCCCAACCCGTTCCTCCGCCTGCCTCGGGTTCTGCATCACCGTCTTGGTTCGGTGGGTGGTTCGGTGACGGTAAGAAGGAGGATGCTGCGCCCGGGGGAGGAAGCGAGACCAAGGTTTTGGAGAGCTTTGATTCCCCTCCCGTGCCCAATTTCGAGTACAAGTGAAAATTGCCTTGGTTAGTAAGGATTAAGAATCAATGGTCAAATTTTTGAGTTAGGGTTTTAGGGAGTTTCATTTTAAAGCTTTCTGAGTGTTGGATTATTGTATCAGCTCGTATAGTTTTGTTTCGCCTAGTTTTCTTTTTGCTTTTTATATATGTAAGAGAATATGAGTTAGTATTGGCATGCTTTTGAATTGAAATTCTGGACATGCCTTTATTTCATGGAATTAGATAGATAATAAGTAGTAAAGTCTCATACCTATGTGGTGTATGTTGCAAGGGCACAGTCAATTCTTTTGAGAAAATCTATTTTGTTCCATCTTTTAGTATCTTCAATCTATGCATTAGATCTAATTGCTTATTCAGTTAATTAAGCTTGATAAAATCTGTAACCTATATGCTGATTTGTGCTGATATGTGTAAAGATATTATTTGTGTGCAGGGTGAAAAGGTAGATTTGCTTGCTTGAATACTGAAAGCCCCTGATAGTTCTAACGGGTATGGTGCTGAATGAGAGTAAAATTTCTCTTTTAGCTTTGGAGTATGATGATGCTTTTATGGAGAGGAAAGTAGGAAGGGAATTGTTCCCCTTGGTTGATATTGCGTTCCAAAATCTTGTGTGCAGAATTATCCTAGGTCACATCATAGTTTTGTTCTATTTACTGCGGCTTTTATTCTACATAATGTATTTTGCGCACTGTTCTATGTTGGGAATTTTGATCATGGATTTCGATTCTATAGTTGTCGGTTATTCTGCAGTACCTCCATTCTTCTGCTTGATAATAGTGAATTACTCTCTATCCTCTTGATCTGGTTTAAAAGACAGTGCTTCCCAAACTTGTTTGGAATATACATGTAACTCCGCTTGTCCATCTTGCCGTTGACGCAGTTAATTGAACCATCGATCTAAATGTAACTCCACACTTATTTTCCCCCATTTCCGGTATCTGCCCTCCCATTTTTCATTTGCATACACTGCTATTTGCAGTCAACCCCACCAACAGAATCATTAAGAAATGAACTCTTTGATCAACAAATTCAATTATGCTTTTCGTTGCTACAAACCAGCCAGACATTAGATCGAGCTCTGAGTAAACTGTTGACAAGATTGGAAATGATGGGTATAATCTACCAAGTTCCACGATGTGCGGATTACGACGGGGAGGGAAAAATGAACAATGTGCGTAAAGTAGTAGTAGTTAATGTTCAGATTAGATTATCTTCTATTTATTGAGAAAATTATGAAAAAAAGAAAGTGATAAACGAGCACACGCATGGTTTAACATTCTTGGTGTGTAATGAACTACGGTGAGGTGCAGGAAAAAAAAATCAGCAGTCTTTTAAAAGTAAAGACTGCTTATATTTTTTCCCATGGCGATTAGTGGAGAGATCGATAAGGCAAATTCCGTGAATCGAGTTGACGGTGAATGGATCAATTGAGCTGGTGTGTGATTTTTTTATTTTGTAGTGCCATGTCTTGTACAAACACCTCTGAAGAGGGCCTAGCGAAATTCATATTTCATTTTTGTTAATCGCACGTGACCCTGTAAGTTCAAAGCATTTTAATTCTTAAAATTTAAAAGTTTCATTTTTTAACTTGGTAAAAAAGTAGTTAATTTTAATTTTATTTATTTTTACTGTTATTTTGCATTTAAAAAAGTCAAAAGTATAAATATCATTTTATAAAATTAATAACTGATGAAAGGGCCTCAGAATTTTACGAATTAACACTAATGATTTATCACATGATTTCTTCGAGTCGGGAATCTTCATACTTCAACTTACAGTGTGTTTAATTTCCCGGTAACGAATAAGCTATATATCATTGCATTCAGTTTAATGTGAATTTGTTGTATGCAATGAATTCAGATATTCTCTGATTTTGACGCGAATATATCGGTACGGTTGAGATTCACTTGAACAAAATTAGTGGTGTTCAACGAAATTAAGCAATTATAATTGCTTAAGTGAAATATCACTGGAGCAAATATGAATTTGCTTGACAAAACCTAAGTAAGATCTAAATACAGTAAGCTAAGCTCACTTAATTGACATTTGCTTAAGTGTCTAAGTGAATTTAATTAATCTTAAACGAAAATGGGATAGAGAGTACTCGATGGAAACCTTATGTTTTGCTTAATTAGGTAACTTCAAGCAAAAAAATAATAATTACTTAAACGAAGTTTGTTTGCTTAAGCAAATTATGGATAAAATGTCAAAAACTAGCAAAAAAAGCAACAATCAAGATAACATATTCATCAAGTCATTAAAAGTAAAAAAATGTTTTTGGATAAAAAGACCATGAACATTAATGAAAGTAACATCTTATAGACATAATTTAAGTGTTTAAACTGAAAAAATAACAAATAAAATTTATTACACAATTGAAGTGTTCAAATTTTTTTTCAAAAAATGTAATACATTAAATAATGAAGAAGCATTGTCCAATGTTGCCTCTAGCCTCTAGGTGCGTGGAGTGACTATGGGATGAACTTGATCTTCCTCAACATTTTCAGCATGACCCAAATATGTCTTCCTTCTTGTCCTTTTACTTCACCATTATGGTGCTCTTGAGCTTCCTCCTTTGGTTGTACTACATCATCCTATTCATCAACTGGGAAGTTAGAGTTGTATCCAGGCCATGAGACAATGTTCCAAACACTATTGGTGTAGGTCCTAGGAAAGCAGAAGCCTCTCCATGAATTAATGATACTTTCATACCTCAATTTGTAGAAAGAACTTACAGTAACAATTTCAAATGTAAGACAAAATGATAAATGATAGAAGAGTTACCTATACAAGGAATCATTTAGCTGCGTAAATGCTCAATGATTTGTTGCCATCTGCTATTGTATCTAAGAGATATTACATGTAAGGCAAGATTCCATGGTTGTCATGTTGGCCATGGATGCTGAGGATGAAGATTGTGCTTTAGGTATTGTTGACGAGGAGGGTTAGGAATAATTCCAAAATAGGTTGCTTCAATAGATTGGTGTAGTAATTTTTTATGAAATAGACATTAATGAGTTTCTTCAATTTGATGGTTGATTTAGAGTAGTTAGAAATAGTAACACTTTTGGAAGCACAAAGAGAAATTATAAGAGTTAGGATTTTCAAAGGTTTTGTGGCGATGCAGAAGTGGAGGGGTTAGAAATGACAAAGTAGTAAATTTTCTCTCAAATGATTGTGGCTATGTCCACAATTAACTTCTCCATTATGTTGTAAATGAGATATGTGTGAGGCATGCATACATTAGAGGTGTGAGTGTAAGGGCTATGTTGGCAAAGAGGAAGGATGACCATATTTGGCCCAAAGTGTTCAAACTTCCTCTTGAACCGTATTAGCTTTCCAACAGTTGTCTCAAAGGATCTATCAAGGATGCATAAGGCATTAGCTATGGCAGAAATAATGTCTTTATCATAAGTCACATAGTGCCTTCAAACTCAAGACTCTCTCCATTTTGTCTTGGATCAATGGCCAAGCATTCACATAAATTTTTTTAACTATGTCTTTATAAATTTGGTTTGGGAGATTTGTCAAATACTTTAATTTTCTTCTAAGTATTTCTTAATTAAAGTCTTCATAATCTCTTTCATCTAAGAACACCTTTTGCTTAGTTAGCAACTTCCTTGGGTACAAATCAAGAAATCTCTAATATTTTACTTTGTTTTTTTAACCTAAACTTATCTTATGAAGGTTGTAGAGTTGTGGTAGTGGTTGGTTGTTGTTGATGGTCAATAGTTTCTTCATTTTGTTGGAACCTTGGCCAAGTTCAGGTCTTTGAGTTTTCCTTTGAGGGATAAACTTCTTAGGTGTCATGTTGAAACAACCACAACATAATTGGAATAACATAGAAAATGTAATAGATTTCAATATGAAATTCTAGTAAATTTGTTTGAGCAGATAAGTGACATCATGTTCATATAAATGAATTTATGTCAATCAATACATATAGTTCTATATAATATTGACTTAAGTGAACCCATTGACATTTAAGTGAAATTCACAACACAGATACCAAAATGCAAGGAAAAGCACAACAAGGGCAGGTAATCCATATAGCATATTTCTATCATGCTTATTCTATTATACTAAGACAACAATTCTAAAATGCATATTAAAAATTTCTAATCTAATAGTGATGAAAATCAAGGAAGACCCATTGAAGACAAAGACTTGAAGACACTAGAAGGACTTCAAGGACCAATGACAAGGACAAGGGCAATTACATATACTTAGAGAATTTGAACTCTAACGAGTTTTATTAGGATTTAATTATTATGTTTAGTTTATTTATTTTAATATTAGTCATTACTTATTTTGAGTTTTTATTTAGGATAAAATCTTATTATTTTATTTAATTTATTTGAATTTAGGCTTGTTGGTACAAGAAGCCCATTAGGGTTTGCTTTAGTATTAGTTTACAAGCATTAGACATATATAAACTCTTATATACACACTTTTAATTAAGTTTTGAATACAATTTGAGATTGAACACTCTTGTGAGAGCGTGTGACTCTAGGTTCTTGAGTGAGCCAATTTTCTTTGATTTTATTAAGAGGCCAAAACTCTTGTGGCGATCATTCCTGAGCTTATCAATCTTGCGATTGTAGCACCATTTTCCATCTCTATTCTATTTTCACTTTTTATTAATTTTTTTCTTATTTCAATTCCTATTTGTACCTTAATAATTTTGTTTTTATTGTGTGAAATTCAATTCAAGATCGTTTAATTCGGCGATACAGTTTGTGGTTGTCATCAATTGGTATCAAGAGCTTTGGTTAGAATTGGATTGAAAGATATTGTTCATCGCACACTATTAACGTAGTACTCATTGCAACATACAAAAGTGTGTTTTTGATATATTTCTTCCAATCTTCCGTTTATTTTGCTTGATTCCATACTGGAAAAAAAATAGTTGTTATTTAACGTTACATAATCTTCTTTAAATTCTTCAATTTTGTCTTATTTGAAATCTACTTTTAAGTGTGTTTACTTCTTATTTAGTCCTTTTTTTTTCTATTGTCTTGTTGGCTTCCTTAGTTTTGTCTTAGAGTTTTCTTTTGTTGGCTTCACTTGATTTTCATTGATTGATCGTCTTTTGGTTTTGGTTAATTATGTGGATTGGAGGTTGACTTCTTTAAGAACTCTTGAGAGCACTTAAAGGAAAAAAGACAAGAGAAAAATCCTTACACAAAAGCCAATTTAGAGTGAAACATGAGTGAATATCTACTGAGTGAAAACACTTAGCGAGTGGAGAGAACCTTTTCTTTTTGCATTAACTTTTATTATTTTGTAGAATGTCTCAAGAAAGAGGATCAAGTAGAGAGAGCACTCCTGCCTCGCAAATTGAAAGGCTTGCTCAAAGATTTGAAAGAATATTTGAGAGGCAAAATGAAGCAATAAGGAATGTTCAAGAGGCGTTGGCAAATAATGCAAGAAGGCGGTCATGTGATCGTTCCTCACATGCCCATGGAGACTTTAGTAATTTTTCAAGAGAAAGAAGAAGAAATAGGAGAGATGATGAAGAAATGAGGTTTGATAGGTGGAGAGATAATAGAGAGAGGAGGAATTAAAGAAGAAGAAGAGAAGATGTAAGAATAAGAAAAAATGAGAGAATTGGTGGAGTTAAAATAAAGATTCCTAATTTTCATGGAAGGAATGATGTTGAAGCATACTTAGAGTGAGAATTGAAGATAGAGCAAGTATTCTCATGTCATGATTATAGTGAAGAAAAGAAAGTAAAGGTGGCTTCCCTAGAATTTCATGACTTTGCTTTGGTGTGGTGGGATCAAATTCAAAGGGACCAAAGGAGATATGATGAGGAGCTTGTAGATACATGGATTGAAATGAAGAACCTAATGTGCAGG